CAAAAGGCACATGAAAACATGCTCAAAGTCACTAATTATCCGAGAGATGCAAATCAAAACAACAATGCGGTACCATCTCACACCTGTCAGAATGGCCAACATCAACAAATCAACAAACGACAAGTGTTGGCGAGGTTGCGGAGAAAAAGGAACCCTCGTGCACTGCTGGTGGGAATGCAGACTGGTGCAACCACTGTGGAGAACAGTGTGGAATTTCCTCAAAAAACTGAAAATGGAACTCCCATTTGATCCAGTAATCCCACTCCTAGGAATATATTCCAAGAAACTAGAAACACCAATCAGAAAGGATATATGCACCCCTATGTTCATAGCAGCACAATCTACAATAGCCAGAATTTGGAAACAGCCTAGGTGCCTGTCAGCAGATGATTGGATCCAAAAACTATGGTACATCTACACAATGGAATACTATGCTGCCATAAAAAAGAAGGAATTCTCATCATTTGCAGCAACCTGGATGGAATTGGAGAACATCATGCTGAGTGAAATAAGCCAATCAATGAAAGAGAAACACCACATGACCTCACTCATTTGTGGATAATAAAGATCATTATAAACTGATGAACCAAAAGATAGATACAGAGACAGTAAAACAACAAGCAGATTGTCAAATTTCAGTGGGGAGGGTAGGAGGATCTGGGGGAGAAAATAGATCAACTGAAGGACTTGTATACATGCATATAAGTACAACCAATGGACATAAAGCTCTGGGGAGGGAGGGGATAGGTGGGAGGGAGGGAGGGGGGAAAATAAAATAAAATTAAAAAAAGAAAAAAAAAAGAAAATACTGTCTGCAAGATGGATTCCTTGACATCTTGGGGAAGTATTTTAGAAAAATACACACATGTGTAAAACAATTGTAGTAAAAAAATATAAACTCTTGAAATTAAAAAAAAGAAAAAAAAAAAAAATGCAGCTTTGGGAAGAAGATTCATATGAGCAAACGTTGTTGGAGCTCAGGGACAAGGGGGCTCTGACCTAAGGATATGATCTCTCTGCTCTAAGAAGCAGATTTATCCATAGCGTAGCAATTACTTTGTAATAACCTGATGTCGGCTAATCTTCAAGTCTAATGATTCCCCCCTCTCCTGATCAGTTCTGATCCAGGCCCACTAAGCACACTTCGAGTTAGACCTTACTGTTTGTCCCCTGGAGTTTATATAGAGTTTGAGAAGATGCAGGACAGAAAACTTGACTAGCCAATCTCTTTGGTAATGGACTTCACCATTTCATGTGAGTCTGTCTGGAGAAATGGACCCACTGTTTGTGCCAACAAAAATCACTCAGCAAAACTAAAAACAAGACCATGGAGCAAGGCAGACAGCATCTTACATGGCTTATTGGTGGGTAGGCAATGTTCTCTTGAATTCAAACAGGTCTGCAACTACAAGCCAAATTAAAACTAAGTATTAAAAAATTAACAAATCATTTTTAAAATGATTATTGATATAGCATTACTGGAACAAACACAGCATAAAAGTTCAAAGCAAAAATGGTAGCTCTAGATTGTGCCTCAGTTTTTTTTTTTTTTTTTTTAATCTCTAAAATGGGTTATTGAAAGTGATGACCTAATTGAGTTGTGGGGATTTCATGATTTAATTTCTGTAATACACCTAGTGCCTGGTTCACAATAAACTTAAGCAAATGTTTGCTAAAAAAAAAAACAAAAAAAAACGGCTGTACAAATATCTAGTTCCTGCTTTCAGTTCTTTTAGGTATATGCCCCAAAATGGACAGTTGCTGGATTATATGGTAATATGTTTAATTTTTTGAGGAGCCCCCATACTAATTTCCATAGCTGCCGCACATCCTAGCCAACAGTTATTATGTTCTGTTGTTTTGTTTTGACAATAGCCATCGAATGGATATCTTATTGTGGTTTTGATCTTTATAGAATTTTTATAGGACCTTTGTTGAAAATGCATTGACCATTAATGTAAGTATTATTTCTGTAATCTCAGTTTTGTTTCATTGATTGATATGCCTGTCCTTCTGCAAGTACCTCACTGTCTTGATTAATGTGGCCTTGTAGTAAAATTTGAAATCCAAGTTTGTTCTTCTTTTAAAGATTGTTTTAGCTGCTCTGGGTGTTTTGTGTGTCCTTATGAATTTAGCAATTTCTGCACAAAATGGCAGTTGGGATTTTGGTAGGAACCGAATCTGTAATGAGTTTGGGGACTAGTGCCATCATAATAATATTAAATCTTTCAATCCATGATCATGGAATATCTTTTCATTTTTAAAGAGTCTTTAATTACTTTCAACACTTAGTAATTGTCAGTGGACAGGCCTTGCTCTTAAGTATTCTATTCTTTTTTTTTTTTTAAATAATAAATCTTTATTGTTCAGATTATTACAGGTGTTCCTCTTTCTCCCTTCTTCCCCTATAGCTCCCCTCCACCTGATTCCTACCTCCATCCCATGCCCTTACCCCGCCCACGTCTTCATCCATAGGTGTAAGATTTTTGTCCAATCTCTTCCCTTACCCCTCAGACTCCCTTCCCCCTGAGAATTGTTAGTCCAATCCCTTTCTATGTCCCTGATTCTATTATATTCACCAGTCCATTTTGTTCTTCACATTTTTTATTCACTTGATTTTTAGATTTACTTGTTGGTAGGTATGTATTTTATGTCTTTTTCTTGTTAATAATTTTTACCTTTACTTTTTTTCTTCTTCTTCCTCTTTTTAAAGAATACCCTTCAGCATTTCATGTAATCCTGGTTTGGTGTTGATGAACTCCTTTAACTTTTTCTTGTCCGTGAAGCTCTTTATCTGACCTTCAATTCTGAATGATAGCTTTGCTGGGTAGAGTAATCTTGGTTGTAGGTGCTTGTTGTTTATCATTTTGAATATTTCTTGCCACTCCCTTCTGGCCTGCATAGTTTCTATTGAGAAATCAGCTGACAGTCCTATGGGTACTCCCTTGTAGTTAACTAGTTGTTTTTCTCTTGCTGCTTGTAAGATTTTCTCTTTGTCTTTTGCTCTTGGCATCTTAATTATGATGTGTCTTGGTGTGTTCCTCTATGAATTCCTCCTGTTTGGGGTCCTGTGAGCTTCCTGAACTTGTAGGTCTATTTCTTTCACCAGGTAGGGAAAGTTTTCTGTCATTATTTCTTCCATTAAGCTTTCAATATTCTGCTCGCTCTCTTCTTCTGGCACCCCAAAAATCCAAATGTTGGTACATTTTAAGCCGTCCCAGAGGCTCCTTACACTATCCTCACACTTTTGGATTCTTCTTTCTTTTTGCCTCTCTGGTTGGGTGATTTTTGCTTTCTTATATTCCAGATCTTTGGTTTGATTCTTGGGGCATGTTGATCTCTAGTTGAGTTTCTGTATATTCTTTATTTCAGACTTTGTATGCTTAATTTCTGGCTGGTCCTTTTCCATTTTTTTGGTATTCTCATTAAGGTCCTTGAAGGTCTCACCAAACTTAAGGTTTTTAGAAGATTCTTGAGTAATCTTATAAATGTGATTTTGAACTGTGTGTCATCCAGTAGTTTACTGTCTTCCATCTCTCCCATTTGTGTCATGCTTCTGTGTTTCCTCATTTTGGCTGCCTCCCTGTATTGATGGAGTGGCTTTGTGTGGTCAGTGACCTATAGGGGTCAGTAGCTCAGCTTCCCCAATCACCTGAGGTGGTTGCTTTTGCTATATCCCTTTGTGGGTTTAGTGCAAAATCTTGGTGTAATTAAGCCTTGATTGCTGTTGGTACACTGGGAGGAATTGACCTCCAGGCCAATTGTCTGTGAGGACCCGCTCTGTCTATAAAGAAGAACTGCTGCACTGGAGACACACTTTGTTTCAGTGGGGCTTTGGTGCTCCCTTAAACCTTCTCCCTAATGTGTCACTTATGGGTGTGAGGGATTGAAACTGAGCACTAGAACTATGGTTTCTGGGTCTCAATGAGGTACCGGTCAGCTACTGTCTGAGGCCAGAAGCTACAGCGTGAACTATAGTCCTGTCCTCCTTGTTTGCCCCAGGTTGCAATTTTGCTAAACTCAACAGAGAGGGCCATTCATATGGAAAGTCCGATGCTTGTAGCTTGGATGTGTTGTGAGGGGCAGAGTCTCAGGGCGTCACTAGGCTGGGGCGTGGCCAACAGCAATGGCTGCCATCTCTCTGATGGCATCCCTGCGTCTCCCCGTGTCTTGCACCACAGCACAGTAAACAATCTCAGCTCTGCAAGCAAGCCAGCCCCATTTTCTGACCCGATGGCAAACAGTCTAGCCTCTCCCCAGAAACTGGATTTCAGAGAGATCCGGCGCTTGTCTCTCTTCAGGTTGATCCACCAGCCTGGATCCACTGCCTGCCCTTATTGCGTCCGCACCCATCTACCTCAGTTTTTCAGCGCTGTGCCCAGGAGTCTCCTCTTTCTCTTTCACGCTAGATGTAGGGCTTCCTCTCAGCTAGATTTCGTTTGGTTTTGGGGAGATAGACGTTTGTTTTATAGTTTTTTTTTGGATTTGTGCCTGGCAGCTGTTTAGGAGTATTTACCTAATGCTACCATCTTCATTCTCTGTCTACAGCATTTTTAAATTAAGCATAAATCATAGAAAAGAAAAGCCTTTATAATGTTTAGAGCATTTTAAAATTTTTTATCCTAAGTAATTAGCAGTCTGTGCTTAGGCAGAAATATATGCTTTTCATAGTGCAAATTCGTTTTGTATAGATTAATAATTTTAATATTGTATAATGTCTGAGAGCACGAGGTCTGGATTCTTAATCTCAGGGCTGGAATCTCCACCCTAGCTATGTCACCTGTGCTAGCTGTGGAGTTCTTGATTTCTTGGGTCTGTAAAATGGGGATGGTAATAATCCCATAGAAGGCTGTTACAAGGGTTAAAGAAGATCTGTCCGCTAGGGCCCTCAGTGTTTGTTGATGTTGTTATTGTTATAGCCACTGCTTTGTTATTAGGTGGCTTTGTATCCTTGTTTTTTTCAGTGATGGTTAATAATTTATATTTTTTCATTCATACAGGTTGAATTTAATTTTTACAAAATTTGATGAAGTCCAAAAATCTGGAAACATGATACAATCTGCAAATGGTGAGTAGAAAAAGGAGTCATTTTGTTTTTGCTTTATCAGTTTTATGTCAGCAATGCTTATGCTATTTCTGAGCAAATGAATTTAATGTATTGTAAGAGTTGCTAGGTCTTAAGATTTAATTTCCATTTACCTACTTCCTGAGGCCAGAAACTATGGAGGTATCATTGACATTCTTTCATAATCTGCCTGAGTTCATCAGCTGATCCTGTTGGCTTTCCTTTTAAAAAAACACCTAGAATCCGAATGGTTCTCACTGTAGCAGCTACTTTTCTCTTAGTGAGAGTGGTCCTGGTAATTTACCTGAGCTCCTGTGCTAGCCTAACCAACATTCTTAGCTGTAGTCTGTCACAGCACCTAAAGTTTATTTTCACACAGCAATCGGAGTAATCCTTTCAGAATGTAACTTAAGCAATGCTAATTCCCTGTCCAAGACGTTTTCCATCACATGGAGACGGCAGTTAAGTGCTCATCACGGCTGTCTCGGCCCTGCATGGTCTGGTCTGATCACCGTTCTGACGGCATCTGGTTTTGTTCTTCCCCTAAGTTCTCTCGGCTTCCATTCCGTTGGCCTTGCTGATTTTGAACATTCTTAGCTTTTCGTACTTTAGGGCCTCTGTGCTTATGAATCCTGCTCCAAACATTTGTTCCCTCCGTGTCATCATGGCTATCTTCCGCCTTCCATCCAGATTTTGGCTGTGGTATCACTGCATTACAAAGGCTATCTGGAATAGCACATCCAGTTTCTAAGGGAACTCTGTGTGCCTTCATCCTGCTTGACTTGCCTTCTTAGTGCAAATCACTGCAAAAACATTTTTATTCATGAGGGTAAGAACTGTGTTTTATTCCTTTCTTTATCCTTAATGCCTCACAAAGTCCCTGGCATGCTGTAAGGTTGAATAAATAAAATAATAACTGAAACTTTGAGTTCTGACCTATTGTCCATTATTTGTACTCAGTTTATTGCAGCTTGTACTGATATTTGAGGACATGGGGTAATTCTTGTGATTACAGAAGGGAAAGAAAAGAAAAGAGTGAATTACTATATAAATAAAGTCATCAAAGGGACAATTGTTAACAAGAACTTTTTCATATTCTGGATACCTCATTGCATCATAGCTATTTCAGAATTGCTGGGGATCTTAAATCATAGCATAACTTTCAAATTTTGAATATCTTGAGGTTGTAAAGAAGTTTGAGTGATTTCCCCCAAAGTGATATACATGTAAAGATGCTTTTATTAATTCCTTTTATTTTTTTATTTTCTAATTCCTTTTATTTATTTTAAAAATAATTATTTATTTTCAGTCACAGGTGACATACGCTATTATATTAGTCTCAGGCATACACCCCAGCAACTAGATATTACATACTTAATACGTGGTCATCCTGATAAATCCTGCGCCCATCTGATACTATACAGTTATTTGACTATTATTGACAGTATTCCTTATGCTATACTTTACATGCCTGTGACAGTTCTGTAACAACCAATTTGTACTTCTTAATCCCTTAATCTTTTTCACCCATCCCACACCACCCTTCAATCTGGCAATAGTCAAAATGTTCTCTGTATCTGTGATTCTGTTTTTGTCCTGCTTGTTCGTTTATTTTTTTAGATTTAATTGTTGATAGATATGTATTTATTACCATTCTACTGTTCATATTTTCTGTTTTTCTTCTTAAAGAAGACCCTTTAACATCCTATCTAATAAAGAGGTAATATGCAAATCGACTGTCACTCCAACACACAAGATGGCCACCCCCATGTGGACACAAGATGGCCAGCAGGGGAGGGCAGTTTTGGACAATCAGGCCAGCAGGGGGTGGGGGGGAAGCTGGGAGGGACAAGGCCTAAAAGGGAGGGCAGTTGGGGGGCGATCAGGCCTGCAGGGGAGGGCAGTTAGGGGTGACCAGGTCAGCAGGGGAGGCAGTTAGGGACAACCAGACCAGCAGGGGAGCAGTTAGGCGTCAGTCAAGCTGGCAAGGGAATGGTTAGGGGGTAATCAGGCTGACAGGCAGAAGCAGATAGGGGCAATCAGTCAGTCAGGCAGGCAGGCATGCGAGTGGTTGGGAGCCAGCAGTCCTGGATTGTGAGAGTGATGTCCCATATTGGAGAGGATGCAGGCTGGACTGAGGGGGATACTCCTTTAGTCTGTGAAACTGTTTAGCTGTCCTTTGATTCTAAATAACTTTCCTGGGTAGAGTAATCTTGGTTATAGGTCCTTGCTTTTCCTCATTTTGAATATTTCTTGCCAATCCCTTTTGGCCTGCAAAGTTTCTGTTGAGAAATCAGCTGACAGTCTTATGGGTGCTCCCCTTGTAGGTAACGACTTTTCTCTTGCTGCTTTTAAGCTTCTTTCTGTCTTTAACCTTTTGCATTTTAATTATGATGTACCTTGATGTGGGTCTCTTTGGGTTACTCTTCTTTGGGATTCTGTGCTTTCTGGACTTGTATGTCTATTTCCTTCACCAAATTAGACAAGGTTTCTGTCATTATTTTTTCATATATTTTCAATTTCTTGCTCTCTCTGTTCTCCTTCCGAAAACCCCATGATGTGAATGTTGGTACGCTTGAAGTTTTCCCAGAAGCTCCCTACCCTGTCCTCATTTTTTTGGATTATTTTTTATTATTATTGCTGTTCTGATTGAGTGTTTTTTGCTTCCTCATATTCCAAATCAGTTATTTGATTCTTGGCTTCATCTAATCTACTGTTGATTCTCTGTAAGTTATTCTTCATTTCAGTTAGTGTAGCCTTTATTTTTTCCTAGTTCTTTTTCATGTCTTTGAAATTATCATTAAGATTCTTGAGCAACCTTATAACCATTGTTTTGAACTCTATATCCGGTAGTTTGTTTGCTTCCATTTAATTTATTACTCTTTCTGGAGATTTCTTCTGTTCTTTCATTTGTGGTGTGTTTCTTTGTCTCCACATTTTGACTACTTCCATGTTTATGTTTCTTTATATTAGGTAGAGCTGTTATGTCTTTTGGAATTGGTAGAGTGGCCTTTAAGAGGAACACCTGGGACTCCAACAGCCTCCATGTCACTCATCTATTGGAGATATAATCTGGCTGGTTTTTATAGCCTGAAGTTACATGGACTTCTCTTCCCAGCTCTGGAACCCTGGGCTAGGGGTCTGGTGTTGGGCTGGGAACCCCTTGTTACTTATGGGAGGACTTGGCAGGGGAAATAGCCCTTCTGATTAAAAAACGTGCCACACGTCCCATTAATGAGTCTCTTTCATCATTGATGTTTCTCTCATACTCTCTCCCTCTCCCTTGCTCTCTGAAATCAATAATTAATAATAATAATAATATTAATAATAGCCCTAGCCAGTTTGGTTCAGTAGATAGAGTGTCAGCCTGCAGACTGAAGGGTTCCAGGTTTGATTCTGATCTGGGGCACAATGCCTGGTTGTGGGCTTGATCCCCGGTGTAGGGTGTGCAGGAGGCAGCCCTTCAGTAATTCTCTTTCATCATTGATGGTTCTCTCACTTCTCTCCCTTCCTCTCTGAAGTCAATAAAAATACAATATATTTAACAAAACAAAGCAAAAAAACATGCCAGACGTGGGTGTCGGACTGGCCTGTTCCACGCCTCTGCCCCTCCTACCAGTCTTGATGTGCTTTCTTCTTAACCTTTCTAGTTGTAGGACTTCCATTCAAGTAGATTTCAGGCGATTTTGAATGATGGCTTTTCTGTATTTTAGTTGTAATTTTGATGTGTTGAGAGAGGCAGCGAGTACTGGCATTTTTTTTTTACCTACACTGCCATCTTGGTTGTCCAATAATGATGCTTTTTTGAATAGGTAATAAAAGCTCTGGATTTGAGCTAAGTTGAAAGAAACTATTTGCCAACAAAAATATAAACTAGATAAAAGATAATCAATTGGCCTTTGTACATGAATATATCTATTCTATTATTTTACTGCCAAATGCATCCTACCTAACGTTTTTTCACTAAAAATTTTTATAATTTGAAAAATTTTTACATATCTTTCTAAGTTATGGAAATGAGAAATATTTGTGCAAGTCTGATAACAAATAGACCAATGATTAATTGTTAGGTAAGATCTGAATTGTTGCCCAGTGTAGATATGACTGTCAACATAAGGAACATCCAAACCCATGAGAATTTTTATGATTTTATTTGAGCCAAACTGATGACAATTGCTGGGAAGCAAAATCTCAACAGAATGTGAAAATGCTTCAGAGAATGCATCTTATTTTACACATCACAATCAAAGAGAAAGACGCGAGGGGCTTATATGACATTCATTGGTGGTAGATTAGAGGGGCGGGAGAAAGTGGGGATTAGATAAAAAGTGAAATGAAGAGAGAGACTTCTTTTGTATTGAAAGGCCTAGGATAGTGAACAGTATAGCACATAGAGATGGTATTGGGGAACGAGGTAACAATGAGGGGTTCCGTGGTCTTGTGTTCTGGTGGGACATTGTGCTCTGAGGAGTCTAAGAAGGGATTTCTCAGGCATTCCAAAGGTATGTTATCTGAGATGCAAAAAGACAGTTGACGTTAAGGTAGAATGACCATTGTCAAGGAAGATAGGACTACTCACCATGACTTGCTTTTCATTAGGAAGTTTGAATTTCAGACCATCCCAAGTTTGGTCTCTGAGTTTGTAAGGCTGTCAGGCAGGCTTCCCCTGAGCTTGTCATGTTTAATATGTGGCCCCTTTTTCATCCACAAAAGCATTCCTTTAAAAGTGAATTTATTGCCTATTGTTTTATTAAAAAGCCAGGCATTCATTATTTTGCATAGTCTTTAAAATAGTGCTGATGCCCTAGCACTTTGGGTCAGTGGATAGAGTATTGGCCTGTGAACGGAAGGGTCCTGGGTTTGATTCCTGCTCAGGGCACATGCCCAGGCTTTGCGGGCTCGATCCCCAATAAGAGGTGTGCAGGAGGCAGCCAATCGGTGGTTCTCTTTCATCGTTGATGTTTCTGTCTCTCTTCTTCCCCCTTCCTCTCTGAAATGAATAA